AACTCGTTGCAACCAAGGCTCGGCATATATGACCCCCATGTTGACCAAGCACAACAAGTTGGAAGTGGCTCTTGTTTAACACATATATGAATTATTGTAATGTGTTAAATTCCAAAGTACATGTACGCATATATATGTTCATTGGTGCCTAAAGTGAAATTCCTTACACAGAGGGACTACATCGAGAATGTTGTGCGTGTTATTGGCCAATCATCACCGCTATGGACTAAGTTTACAAGCCAAGATCCGTCATAACAAATCATATCAATTGACGTCTGTCCTCAGCAGGCCGACACCTCGTAAGCCTCACAACATTTTGTACAAATCCTCCACAACCATTATACAAAACATAAATGTCAAGTGCTAACCATAGCCATGTTGCATTTACAGGGTGGACTGCAGGCCCGCAGTATGTTACATCATACGGGCACACATATACCATGAAGACATTGTTGATAGTCTTACTTAGTCTGAATGGTATGGATTACGAGACTTATTAGTATATAGTTTTTTGAATCACAAAAAAATTGTGCGCCATGAAAACCAATAGATGGGGGGTGTCCACCTATATACTAACTTACACTAGATATGAATGTTAATATTAATTGCTTTGACATTTTGACCAAAAAATAAAATAAAATTGTAAATTAGCGATTTGACATTTATTAATATTCCAATATGCCACTTGTGCATTTTGATCTACATTTGGCGTTAATCTGTTAGTTTATGTTTTTGTTTAAACCGCAGTGTTCTATACTACACAAATTGTGTGTAGAAATATTCACATTGTCTTCACGACAACATTACGAAAGTCATTGACAGGTGTGAATATTAACATCTGTTGTGATTCACATTAGTTACGAATATTCACACCATGTTACACTAAATGCATGTGAAAGTTCATATCCCAAATTATATTCATGTCAACATTCATAACAATAATGTGAAAAGTTCAACCCAAGTGAGAAATATTCACATAGTGTGAATGTTCATATCATCACATTGTATGTACATGTGAAAATTCAGATTTTCCATTAGAACTCTTGTGTACTTGTATAGTATGATGTGAATATTCACATCAGTACATGTATTCATTATCAAAACACCAACAAATGTCAGTTAGCCACCTAAAAAAACAAACAATGTCCTCTCTTTTTACACCCTCATTCCAAAATACTACAACAAAACAAAATATAGACAACACAAATGAAATACTATGAAAAGTAACGTAATCTTATTCCAAACATCAATAAAAGAATCCCACGTAAAACACAATCTCATATACCCTATATTGGCTCATTGCATGATTTCCGATTGTGGCTTCCCAACTTATCACATTTCTTGCACCTTATTTGCTTCAGTTTCTCTCCCCTTGATGGCATTCTATTCTTCTTCGGCCTACCAGATGGTCTTTTCACAGTTAGTGGGTATATGGTGAAGTCCGTGGGATCAAAAAATGGCTTTTCCACTGATAGTATGGAGGATATAGTACTCAAATAGGTTGCACGATACGTCTCTACATGAAAGTAATGTTCAACACAATCATTAAGATTGTACCAGCTCTTCTGAATAGCAATAATAGCATGGTCACATGGGAATCCGTTAATTTGCTATTGGAAGCAAGAACACGTATTGCAATATCAACTATAACGGATGATATGGAATGAATCTCAAACACATCCTCATTGGTTTTGCTAACCTACTAAGACCGCCTATCGTTGAACGAATTAAGAAGAATGATTTCAAATGTAGGACAAATAACCTCATTCCACTTGTTTTCTTGGTCACGTCGCGCTGACATTTGCTGCATCAACTGAGGACGAATATTGTCCACCATCCAAGTGATAGGAAGATTATGTGCTTCTTTAATCTAATTATTAAATGACTCTGTCGCATTAGATGTCATCTCCCCATAACGCATGCCTCTGCACAATATCACAACATTGCACAACACTAAAGTTAATTTCTTCGAAACTGATTATGAAATTTCACATCGCCACAAGACATGACTGAATTTTGTACAAGCTACCATTCTAAACTTGACAAATGGAATACATCAGGTGACTACTATTACTTGAAATATGAATTCGCCCAGTGCTCAGATACCAACTCTTTGAAAAAACTATGTGGTTATTGTTTACTCTCATCTTTTAATTTCTCAAGCTTTTCATGGAACCCCACCCCATTATCAATCCCCTTCATCTGTCTCTTAAATTGTTCTTCAAATGTTGTAAGCAATGACCATGGTGAGCTGATGGAAACACCTTCTACATCGCTTCTAACAAACCAAGATTACGGTTAGAAATAAAAGTAATATGTCACTTACCATCAACAACCTCCCCAAATTTGTACAAAAACCACGACCAATTGGCCGTGGTCTCTGAATCAACAATCGCAAATGCAACAGGGAATAGACCTACAACACAACAACATTAAACAACTGATCACAGTATTCCAATGTGAATATTAATACCAGTAGTTTGCAAAAACAATAGAAAGCCAACAAGGGTTGTGAATATATACATGTGCACACACACAGTAACCAAAAAAAAAACTAACCATTGTTCCCATCTTTCGCCGTTGTTGCAAGTAGCTGACCTTTATACTTTCCTTTGAGAAACGTTCCGTCAAGGAATAACAAAGGCCGAAAAAAATTGTACCCAGAAATACATTCAGCAAATTATACAAAAAAATGATGAAACTATTGACTACTCACATCGTAGTCAATATTGACATAACTCTTTGGATTGTAACGCATCACAGCATCCGAATACCATCGCAGCTAGTTAAATGATAATGAGTGATCTCCATGAATGACAGACTTTGCTTTCTCCACACGCAACCATACCACGTGGTAACTTACATCTAGCCCATAATCCCGCTTCAAAATAGTTACCACCTTACACGAGTAAGTCAACGGCTTGTCCCTCACAATTTCAGATATAGTATTCGACACCAAATTAGAACTAACTCTTGGATTCTTCGACGTCCGGACATCTGTACCACAACTGTGCACATCACTGAACATCTTGATGTAGAAAAATCTATTTGCTCATTGTGCTCTACAATGTATAGCCCATAAGCAACCTCTGTCCTCGCGCATCGCACACATCATAGTAACCCTCGTTGTCTCGTTCTTGACATACTTAAACCGGAACCCGCATTTGATTGCATACTTGCATAAAACATTACGAAATTCTTGTGCACCCTCTACAAATTGCTGTCCCACATGCATAATACTATTTGCCCAAGGGGCTGACAACAATTCCTTTTCCTTATGATAGCAAAATCTCTGGAGTGCATCAATTTTTTCTCCATTCCTCCCACGCAATGACCCAAAGCTACTCGACTGACCAATATCATTTTTCAAATCAACGACAACCTCTACATGTTGTACCCCCATTGATTTAGCAAGCAATAACATGTTCTAAAATTTTTCGTCAATGTCCAAATCACACCTATTAATTCCAGGTAGCCGACAGAACAAGCAGACAACTCACCCATTTTTCACACAAATACTCCACCAAACGCGAATAACACAATACGCGAACCACATTTATTACAGTTGTACTACAACCATATGTGTACACCAACATCATAAATGTATCCATCTCTTGTAAAAACAAAATAATACAAAAGTCAACAATCACGTTATAACCATATGAACAACAACAAGCACAATAATCCATACTATATGAACATTCACATTATGCAAAGTAAATGCATATATGTACAGTTCCACTGCTAAATCCATAATGAAAACTATCACCACCATCCTTACACAACATAAAACATTTTACAAGATCAAAATCACACCCACCAGAAATGAGGTGACAATACACAACATGCAAACAACCTTGTATAACTTCATATTAATAATATGTGAACATCCACATTGTTCATATACTCTGAATTACCTCGTCCAAACAAAGCCTCATTAAGAAAACATAAAAAACTCATCAAACAAACACTTGCATTACCACATAAATCAAAACATAACATAAAACGAACATATATTACCAATAAGATGCCTATATGTACATTTTACACTGCTAAATCCAAACTCAAAATATCACCACCATTATTACCAATAAGATGTGAATATCCATATTGTTCACATAATCTGAATTACCTCCCCACCACAGAGCCACGTAAAATGCATATAATTCAAAAAATAGAGCATCCGATCCATATAATTCAAAAAACAGAGCATCCAATCCATCATATAAATCAAAACATAAACTGAATATGCATTCATAACCAAAATGATACAAACCTTAATCATGCAATTCTGCACTCGTCCTCTACCTCTAAAACGACTGATTTTACCCAATTATACTCCAAATAATGTCACAACCGAACACTGTTTGAGCCATCGTTTTCACTCTCAAATCACTGAACCCTACCACAACAGCAACAATAAAACCCTAGCATACCGAAACCTTCAAACGAGCCACCAAATTGAAACGTATCCAACTGATTCATAATCATAATCAAAAGCGTGAATACAACAAACTACCAAAACAAAATGAACACAAAAAAAATGAAACGTCTATATCTGTTATGTGTATCAACACTATAGATAAGGGCATAATAGTCAATTAAAAAATAGAAAATTAGGAAAAATGATATCATAGAATAAAAAGATAAATACATGGGACTAATAAAGGTATAATAATTATTTGTGAACCTAATGGATTACAACAACTCTAAAATAGATTTGTCAACAAAAATCATTTAAATTATATATTTTAGTGGCTTAATAGATTTAATCTATAGTTTGAGACTTAACTCAGCAGACTTTGATCAATATATTTTAATGACTTACTAAGCTCAATCAATAATTTAAGAATTAAATACATAATTTAATAAGCTCAGTCAACAATTTAAGAATTAAATAGATAATTTAATAATAGTTCAGGTAGAAAGTGAAATAAACCCTAAAAAAATTATAAAAAAAAAAAATTTGTAAACTGTAAATGGCATTTTGGAAACTTCCAACCTAAACTACTAGAAACGAGGCTTTGATGTGTGTAATGAATTGCAGTTCTTATCTAAGAGTAGTGTCGAACGCAACAGTTAGCAAAGACTGAGGCTCTCTATTATCAATCAATCAAAGACGATGGTGCTCAAGTACCGTTATTGCCTTCCTCCTCCTCCTTCCTCCTCTGTGCCCTTACTTTGTCATCACTATCCAAAGCTTCAAATTTTTGGAAATGGACGGCCCAAACCCCCAATACCATTTTCTCTATATGCAATTCCACCTCCTAATAATACTACTTCCACCTCACACTCTTCAACCACCCCCATTTTCCTCCCTTTTCTCCAAGAAGAAGATGAAGAAGAACAAGAAGTAGAAATGCTACAAGACCCAGAATCAGAACAAAACGAACAACAAGATGAGGTCTTGGAATCAATCGAAGACCCAATTCTCAGATTCTTCAAATTTCGCACTTCAATTCAAGAACTAGACCCTGGCTGCCAAGGAAAGCTTTCCCTCCAAAAGAATCGCCGCACTTCCTGGCACCTCGCCCCTGGCGATGCAGTTGAATTTGTGGAAGAAACTGAATTTGATTTCAAAAATGGGTTCGAAGACAAACAGGAGCAATTGGGTGTTGAGAATGAGAATTTGGCTTTAGAGGGTGTTGTAGGTGAAATTCTGCAGATAGCAAGGAATGTGCCTGAGAATTTGACTTTGGGGGAGCTTTTGGGGCCTTATGAAGGAAGGGTTGGAGAGAGAGACTGTGTGGAGGTGTTGGGTTGATGGGTGAATGCATAGGTTAATGGGGTTGTTTGTACTTTTTCGAATGGATGGGCTTGCAGGAACCATCGCTTGTTATGCCACGAGCATGTTCACTGTTGTTTCCTGTCTTGGGGAGAGCTGGGATGGGTGATAAATTGATGGTTTTGTTTCGTAATTTGCCTAATTCGAAGCAATTCAGGGATGTTCATGTTTACAATGCTGCAATATCAGGTCTACTGTGTTGTGGGAGGTAATGAGTTTTTACTCAATTATTGTTTTTTCTCCTTTGTTTATTGTGTTTATTTGCAAAGCTCTGTTCAATTTAGGCGTGTGAGGTCAGTATCAGTGTGTAATGGATTACGCAGAACTATGGATTATGAGTTATGACTTAATGATTTCATCAGCAGCTAAGCCAACTATTGTAGCATTTGAATAGATTAATTATTGTAGACAAGGATAAAAAATGATGTTTTTGCTTTGCATAATTGCCTATGATAGGAGGAATGTTCATTTTTCTTCATCAACATAGTTTTTCCTTCCAAGTACTCCGATCCTATTTCTCAGTTAGTTATAATGTTCTTGTAATACTTCATGCTGAACTGTTATCATTTCATCTTATGCTTTAATGCTAGCAGTTTGAACCATTCTCTCTGCCTCTGATTTATAAAAATTTAGGTAGTGCTTTTTCTAGACTATGGTGCACCTTCTTTGCAAGAGACATTTATTTTAATATGTAGTTAGTTGCTTGTATTAGGTATGATGATGCCTGGAAAGTCTATGAGAAAATGGAAACAAATAATGTCCAACCAGATCATGTGACATGTTCTATTATGATTACAATCATGAGGAGAAGCGGTGGAAGTGCCAAAGAAGCATGGGAGTTCTTTGAGAAAATGAATAGGAAAGGTGTTGAATGGCATTTGGAAGTCTTGGGTGCTCTAATAAAATCATTTTGTGATGAGGGGCTTACGAACGAGGCGCTTATTATCCAATTAGAAATGGAGAAGAAAGGGATTTCTTCAAATGCTATTGTGTACAACACTTTAATGGATGCATATAGTAAATCTGACAGGGTTGAAGAGGCTGAAGGTCTCTTTGCTGAGATGAAAGCAAAGGGGATTAAACCTACATCTGCCACTTATAACATTTTAATGCATGCATACAGCAGAAGAATGCAACCTGAGATCATTGAGAAACTTCACCTAGAGATGGAAAATTTGGGGTTGGAGCCAAATGTCAAATCATATACATGTCTTATTAGTGCTTATGGGAGGCAGAAAAAGATGAGTGATATGGCTGCAGATGCTTTCTTGAGGATGAAGAAGGTTGGGATTAAACCAACTTCACATTCATATACAGCTCTTATCCACGCATATTCAGTCGGTGGTTGGCATGAGAAGGCTTTTATGGCCTTTGAAAACATGCAAAGGGAAGGAGTAAAACCTTCTGTAGAAACTTATACTGCTCTACTTGATGCATTTAGGCGTGCTGGTGACACCCAAATGCTGATGAAGATATGGAAATTGATGATCAGTGACAAAATTGTAGGTACGCGTGTGACATTCAACATTCTTCTAGATGGATTTGCTAAACAAGGCCACTACATTGAAGCAAGAGATGTAATCTGTGAATTTGGAAAGATTGGCTTGCAGCCAACGGTGATGACATATAACATGCTGATGAATGCATATGCACGAGGAGGGCAAGAATCAAAGTTGCCTCAACTGCTGAAAGAGATGTCAACTCTCAATCTAAGGCCAGATTCTATCACTTATTCCACCATGATATATGCCTATGTCCGTGTTCGCGACTTCAAGAGGGCATTTTTTTATCATAAGAAGATGGTGAAAAGTGGGCAAGTGCCTGATGCCAAATCCTATCAGAAGCTCAGGGCGATTTTGGATGTGAAAGCTGCAACAAATAACAGGAAAGATCGAAAAGCTATACTTGGCATAGTTAATAGTAAGATGGGTTTGTTGAAATCTACAAAGAAAAGAAAGAAAGATGAGTTCTGGAAGAACAAGAAGCAGCAATCAAGAATTCATGCCTCGCCTCGCGTTGGACACTGATGATTCTATGCTTGGATTTCTCATTCACAAAAAAACCTCAGAAGAATCCCCAAAAAATCTGTGAGTGGCTTGAGAATTTCATTAATGTTGATAATGAGGCTAATGTCTGCTGAGTAGGAATCTGCTGGTTGATTTTGCACTGGCTTCTTTTGTATATAGGTCTTGTTAATGTGTGCCCTTAGGGCATATGTTAAGAGAGCTTAATAGTATTGTACCTTATTTATTGCATTCACTCTCATGTGCAATGTACAACACTTTTAAGCTTCTTAACATGTGCCCTAAGGGAGCACATCAATAAATTCCTTTGTATATAATGAGAAGTGTCACTTGTATTGTGAGTTGGGTTTTTCTTGACAATCCCATAAATGCTATAAATGAAAGTTTCCAATTGCTCCTCGATAGCTGTGTTTTATGATGATAACTATTCACCACTTGAAAACAAAATTTTACTTTTTTTTTTCTTCTGAAATTCGATAAAGATTTAAAAATATGGTTTGGTCTGGAATCTAGAGAAAGAGACTTAAAACATGGTTTTCAATTGGGAAAAAAAAAAAAAAAAAAGAAAAGAGAAGAAGAAGAAGAGGGAAAAAAAAAAAAAAAGAAAGAAAAAAAAGAAGAAAAGAGTTCTGTTATGTCCAAACTTATCAATCATCAAGTATTACTAAACAGATTACTAACAGATTTAATGGAAGGTAGATTTGAGTTCACAACAGTAGTATCCTTGAATGTTATTTCATCAACTAATTTGGTCTAGAAAACAAACAATTTCATGAATTACTTTTGTTCCCAAATGAATACTACTTTTTTAGTTGTATCATGTTTTTTTAATTTGAATTGCCCTTGTGTCATAAAATCTGATTCATCAGTGCTTATTGTTTGTGCTAAAACATATGATCCAAACTTCAAAGGGCTATAAGAAGTTTTATAATGTCTTTTATTTTGAATTTCCCTTTTGTGTCATAAAATATGATTCATCATCCAAACTTCAAAGGGATATAAGAAAGACAGATCACACCAACAAAAAAGGGGAAACAATGAAGAATGCAATCTGAACAATGCATGCTTATGATTTAGGAAGAACAAAAAGGAAGAAAAAGAAGGGGAGAAGAAAAAAAAAAACCCAAATGAGATACAGATTTTCAGTGACAGTCAACTGGTTAAAATGATAAAAATATTGTATGATGTGCTACTGTTTACACAAGCATTCAGGCACGGGGTACGCAACCACGTCCCGATCTCTCTTGTTAGTCCTCAGCTCAGGCTGTCCCAAAGCTCTCCTGTGCAGCTTCTTCATGATGCTGCTGAACTCTGTATCAGGAATGGATCCTTCTTCAAAGAAATGAAGCATCATGCGCTTGTTAGGCTTTATGAATTTTCGGTGTCCCACATACGCACGGTGACCCTGCCAATTCGGAGTGTTAGAACAGACTTAAATTTAGATGAGCTCACTCCGGTGTGGTCTCTAATGGACATTTTGGTTTCTTTTGAACCATCTTAGCTGCAGAATAAATGTTGACTAATGGCCATTAGTGTGCTTACTCTTTCCACATCTCTTTACAAATTAGGTGTTGTGACTTGTAAATAACTAGCATTCTCAGAAGTTCAATCAATACCTGCATGGCTCGGGCCATGTTACCTCCATGAGAAGGTACAAAGACATTGCTGCTCAGCGAGACAATGTAGTCAATGGCAGCTAAAACAGAGGATCTTTTGATGTACGGTGCAAGCTCGCCTTCTCGTGCCAGCATCTCCTTTGTTACCACATTTGGAAATTCTGCCACAAGTGGCTTCAATGCCTCGGTGCCCCCAAATGGCTCTCCTCCTGCAATATAAATTCGTGCATTGCTTGGTGCCCCCAGAGCCTTGATGAGCCTGCACTAGCACCCAGTGTAAATCTGATTCGTTCTAGTTGTTCAAAATCCTAAAAAGAAAATGTGTGTGATTGTCCATAGCACTCACCTAACCACTTCTAGTGCATTAAGAGGGCATAGTCCAGCAAGTCGCCTCTGAATGTAGGTCATGTCCAACCTTCTGGTGCGGAAGTCAGGGTTAGAGTCCCTCTCCTTGCTGATAATGTGGTCGTATTCGGGTCCTAAACCGGTAAGACATCCAGTTCTGACCCACACATCCTTCTCTAGCCGGAGATGGATGCTAATGTATGGACCTTCAATCCACATCCTTTTAGTAAGCCGATTTCCAAGCTCCCGGATTGGAGCTGCAAATCTTAGTGCATGGAAAGCTACCTGCCATATGAAGAGGGAATTGCTATATTGTCAGATTAGTACCATAAATATCTCTACTGACAACATTTTAGTTTTATAGGTACCGAATATTCATTCTCTTACCTTGCATCGAAGCTTTTGAAGATCTGGTGGCAGATTCTTTGAGAGCTTAGAATCCAACCCTTTCAGTACAAGAACGCCTTCTTGATTAATCTAGATGAACCAAATGCAACATATTTTGTTATACAGAGAGTGTACAGCTGCTAGTCTACACAGTTTGCAGTAGTGGAATATACTTTTAAAGATGATTTAGTTTTCTTGGTGGCGCTGAAATTGGAAGAAAAGAAGAAAAAAATATGAAACTATGTCATTAAACATAGAAGTGCAGAAAGCCCCAAATTTTTCTCACTTGTTTGAAGAATCTGGCGCGGATCCAAAGTGGAGGAACATGGTACGGAATTTGAGTTTCAACTGTCTGTCTTGAAACCAAATGTGTGGAGGGCAGCGATGACACAACTCGAACGTCAGCTTGTAGAGTCTTTTTAAAATGTTCAACATCAAAGATGTCAGAGAATTCGCTGCAAAAATGAAATTACTGATCTTAATTCATACTCTGCTCAACTCATATCGATAAAAAATAAAAAATAAAAAGTGTCCCAATTCCTTTCCACCCAGAGTAGAGAGTTCATTGGAGGCTCTTCATCTTATATAAGATACGGTCTGAAGAACTGTACTTCCATATCATCCAAGATCATGGTGCTGTCATTAATTTGTAATAATCATATAGCAATTCTGTTAATAAAGAGATCATGGTGCTGTCATTAATTTGTAATAATCATATAGCAATTCTGTTAATAAAGAAAGAGGAAAAACCAGAAAACAGCCCTGTTTGGTATTGTTTTCTCTTTTTTCTTTTTTCTTTTTTGCTTTTAGTATTCTCAGAAATATAAAAATAAATAAATAAGTTCAAAACATTACATATATAGTTTTGATTTTCATGTGAAAATGGGTGTTTTCAGAAAACATGCTTACAAATCTTGGATTTATGAAGGAAAAGGGAAAAAAAAAAAAATTAAGATCTGGAATGTTAATATAATTTTCAAGATTCAAACACAAACAAATTCACCATCCAAGGAGAAATGGAAACCTAGAATTTTAATATAATTTCCACATGAAAAAATTATTCCCAACAGAGTTGGAACTAGTCCAAAACTAAATCAACCCTTGAAATATAATATAATGCTCAAAATGAGAAATATATATATATATATATATGTACTAATTAACAATGTGATCAATCGGAGAGGAGTACCTTTCATCTCCCCAAATGTGATTGACCTGCAAAACTGGTACAACCAATGCGGCTTCAAGAATTCTAGCAATGACAACTGCATCAATAATTTGATTCCTTTGCTGATTCAATCCTCCGGAAACCACCACCATCAGGAACCTCCGCTTCCAATAAATTAAGAGGAAAAAAAAAAAAGTTCAAAACATTGCATATATAGTTTTGTTTTTCATGTGAAAATGGGTGTTTTCAGAAAACATGCTTACAAATCTTGGATTTATGGAGGGAAAAGGGGAGAAAAAAAAAAAAAAAAAAAAAAAAAAGATCTAGAATGTTAATATAATTTTCAAGATTCAAACACAAACAAATTCACCATCCAAGGAGAAATGGAAACCTAGAATTTTAATATAATTTCCACATGAAAAAATTATTCCCAACAGAGTTGGAACTAGTCCAAAACTGAATCAACCATTGAAATATAATGTAATGTTCAAAATGAGAAATATATATGTACTAATTAACAATGTGATCAATCGGAGAGGAGTACCTTTCATCTCCCCAAATGTGATTGACCTGCAAAACTGGTACAACCAATGCGGCTTCAAGAATTCTAGCAATGACAACTGCATCAATAATTTGATTCCTTTGCTGATTCAATCCTCCGGAAACCACCACCATCAGGAACCTCCGCTTCCCCTTCAGAATCCCCGCTGATGCTCTCCGGTACCCGATACTTAAATCCAAGCACGGTTGGTATCCTTCCCCATCTGGCTGCTGCCAGAACTCTCTCTCCTCCTCGGACAGATTTCCCGAAACCCGATGAACCGGTAGTGGCACCATTACACTCTGTGACAGTCTTGGCTCATCATCATCATCTTCAGAACTGGCCGAAATCAAAGCCGAAAGAGAGGCTATGTGCAGAGGAGAGTATGAAGATGAGAAAAAAGGGAAGGAGAAGCTACTGAATGGTGATGAAGACGGGTTCGCAGAGCATGGGACTTTGTTCTGAGAAATGAGTATGGAGCTGAGGATTAGAACTCCCAGGAAACTGAAGAAGATGAGAAGAGAGAGAAAGAAGAAAGAGGGTTTTGGTGCCGAACATGGGTGGCGGTTTCTCGGGCTTTTCTTGGGCGAGAAAAGGAGTGAAGTGAATGGAGAAAGTGCAAGAAAGTGCAAGAAAAAAGTTGGGTTCAGTGTCATCAGTGAGTTCTTGATGTTTCTAGGTCTTGCCATGAAGCTGATTTGTGTTCTTCTCTGAGATTCCAGAGCAATTGTTTTAGGGAAAACGAAGAAAGATATATATATATATATACGTATGTATGTATTCTGGTAGAGGGAGGCGAAGATAACAGAGCAAGAGTGGGTACGCGAAATAACAGAATCAGTTAATTAGTTTTGAGTTGAAAAGTCTATTGTACCCTCGATTTCTTTGCTTTAGTAGGCTTGAATTTAATGAAATGCGAATAAAATATGAGAGATGGAAAAGGGTTTTTTGGTCCAATTAAGCAGTAAAACTGAAACGGGTTTTTTTTGTTAACTGATTTTGGCGGCAAAATCAGAATCGGGTAAAATCCTCCCCCGTTTTTTTTCCCTCTCTCTCTTAGTAATTATATAAATATTTAAAGAGTCTAGTTAACATGTGATCTTAGAGTACACATTAAGAATATATTTAATTATTTTTGAAAAATTACACTAACCTTCATATCATTATAATTATTTAGACAGAATGAATATATTGAATTCATACTCTCTTTTTTCTTACTTTGCTTTACTTCCTCTATTTCTTCTTTTTCTTTTCCTTTACTTTACTTTTTCTTTTTTCTTTTTTTTATAATGTAATTTCTTCTATTTTTTTACTAAGAGTTATTACTTTTTATATAAGTAGGAGGATTTATAAAATGAGACTATTAATTATAGAGGTGAGATGTAATTGAACCAAATTTCAGGGGTGTCAGTGTAATTTACCCTTATTTTAGCTACCTCCACTTGTATGGGATAGAGATGCTCAGCGGATATACTGATCCACCTAAACCGATTGATCCGTTATATTTTGGATGGATGCATGATGACAAGTGAACATCTAAATTGATTTTTTCCAATCTGTCTAGTTTTGGACGAATGACGAATTGGAGGTTCCTAAGCTGCAATCGCACCACGATCACCCCCAATTTGCAGTCATTATTAATATAGATGTTTGTTGGATTATTATCCATATTTGTAATCATTATTAATAAGACAGATTGGATTGTTATCCAAAAAATAAAAAATAAAAAATTTATGTCGACAAGTTTTATTATGTTGAAAATTGTAAAATGTAAATTGCTAAATCGATTCGTATCAATCTGCCAATCCGCTCAATCCTCATTCGCCAATACGGTGGACAGTTGCTGATGATTTTCTCCAATCCGCCTAGTTGTGGATGGATGACGGATTGGAGGTTCTCAGGCTGTAATCGAACCGCGAGCATCCCTAGTATGGGAGAATATAAAACATAAATAAAATAAATACGATAATTTTCAAAAACTTAGATATTTTTGTACATGGACGAAAATGTCCTCACATTTGAAATAACAAAATTAACTTATTTATATAAAAAAAAATATAACAAAATAAAATGATTTTAACTTATTTATATAAAAAAAATACAAAAAAATAAAATGATTGTACCCTCTTGAATATTAAAAAAAAATAAATTAATATTTCATTATAAATAAAAAATAAATTTTTGAATCACATAAAATAATATTAATTTCTTTATTTGAAAACTCATTTAACTTGAAACAATTCTTTGAGATAGATTGATGAATTTCACTTACAATTAGATTTTGATCTATTAATTATATAATATTACAACCAAAAAAAAAAACATTTCAATTTATTCCAAAAAATAACAAAACAAATAAATAAAAATACTTTATTGAAAATCATATAATCACTGTATATATTACAAATAATATATATAATTAAAATAAAATAATATAAGGCAAATTAATAAATGAAATTGAAAGAAATACAAGGAGGGTATTTTGGTCTCCATGCAAAAAAAATTAATTAATCGTAACAACTTTAAATGCTTTTCATACTTTCTATACAAATTAGAGTAATTATACTCATTTAATACATTCCTTATCATGTATCCTTAGTCACGTGTTAATAAATTCCAAAAAGAATTAATAATGTTTAGTGATTTATTTTTTGAATTCATAAATAGATAAATCCATTATAAAGCAATTGGTGATACTACATGTACTAATTAGTGTACCAATACTAATTATGATATTATTATTGACTCTACTCATTAATCACATTACAAATCTCAAAAACCTCTTAAATTATGTCACATCATCAATTGGTACACTAGTTAGTATACTAATTGGTACATCAACAATGCTAGAGGGCCACAATTTTCGTAGCCACAATGGCTCAAAACTATCAGTTGATGATGTAGCATAATTTAAGAGGTTTTTAATATTTGTAATGTAATTAATGAGTGAAATCAATAATAATATTACAACTAGTGTTGGTATACTAATTAGTACACTAATTGATGCATGTAGCACAATTGTTTTGAATAATGGTGTTACATGCATCAATTAGTGTATATCAACATTAGTTATGACATAATTATTGACCCCACTCATTATAAAAATTACAAATACTAAAAGCATTTTCAATTATGGTACATCATTAATTGGTACACTAATTAGTGTACTAAATTGTGCTTATAGCATTAGTCTTCTGAATATGGATTTTATTAATAAGTGTTCGTGTCACGCCTCAAAATTTGGATAATTAAATATTAAATTAGGACTAAACCCCAATCAACATTTCATCATCTAAATCCTAAGAGTGAAACAAAATCTAAACGTTCCCGTCTCCACAAGGTTTAAATAAATTTTCATCCTTAAAAGATCACAAGAGATATAAAAAAAATGAACAAAACGTCAACCAAACTATCTATCATAAATTCATAGCTATCCAATACCTCAACATTAAAGTAGCAACAACTAGTCACAACAACTTAAATAATGTAAAGTTACAAACCATGCTAAATTATCAAAATACCAAGGTCATAAAAATAATAAATACATGAACTAATATTAACCCTAAGCTCAAGAAAATAAAAGAAGTCCAAACGACATTTCTTATTATCATAGTTATTTATTGTCACCACCATAGCCTCAACTAATCCTGCAAAGGAAACTCGGCTGCGCTAAGATAGAAATGCACCCGAGTTGCTAAGAGACAAAACGGGTCAGTATACGGGTATACTAGTATGAGTACAAGATTTTAATACCCACGTGTCCACCAGACACAAATAAAAATATATTTAATTCTTGTTACGAGACAAGACAAGTAGTTCCATCCGCACCGAGACGAATGGGTAGTTTCCTGAGATACGATGGCATTTAGTTTCTTGCTCATACACAATGAAATATAAATTGACTATAAAATAAACAAAATAGAAATAAAAATATGGTGGGTCAGCCCTATATAAAAAGTTAGTAAGACCCACCATCCTGTAAAAAAAATAAAGTTAGTATAATTTAATCATAAGTAACTTGCTAAAAAAGTATAAAAATGCACTGTTTCATACTTAAATAATTTGAATTGACCAAAATTCAAAGAAGAAAAGTTGTACATAATCAAATTTCCTAAAAGGTTGCGTGGACGAATTTAGTAGAAACTGAATAAGTTGAGAGAAAACTTAATACAAAATCCTAGCCGAAATTCGATTGAAAAATCTGGAACTGAAAACGAAAAGAAACTGTTGTAAGATGAATTTTTTCGAAAAAATTTAAAACACGAAAAATGTTCAAAATAATGTTTTACTTTAGTTTGCGCAAAACCAATAAAAATGAGTTCATTTCGTGAATTAAAACAACCTCTAAAATCTGTATTGCTAAGATGAATCAAAACTACAATAACCAAGATCATCCGATTATAAGTTCTAAGCGATATTTTTAATAAAAAGTTAAAACAAAAAAGTTGTCTAGAATCACGTATACATACCTCTGCTCAAATTTCATAATTTATCAAGGTCGCTTACCATTTTTCAAGATGTACAAATCAATACAATTCACACTATAACAATAAACTCATAATTAAATTCTTTGTACTTTAACTCCACCACTTCGGCCCTTCACTTGTGGCCTACACATATATCTCATGTGTCTCCTGTATACCTAACACCGCTTCGAAGCCAAACTTGCATGGGGATATCGTCTTGAGTTTGACTCACATTCCCCCGATGGTTAGTATATACGTACGCATGTAAAACAAAGCACTCGTCTACTCACGAGAATGAGGTAACAATATACATATACAAAATATCTCACTCATGAGAACAAACATAACAATGCCAAGACTAAGGTATTCAAATAAATCTCATAATTTTCATTTTTTTTATACACTATTTCTCACCAACACTCAAATAAAATAACAATCCATTAAGTCATGGTGGAGTGTAAGGCATTTATCTCTGGGTTCTTAATTTATTTTAATTTCATATATGTATGAGTGTGATTATAACCATAAAATAAATACATATAAAAACCCTAAACCTGGCATACACAACTAATCAAAATAATTAAAATCAATTAATCATTTAAAAATTCTAAACCTTACATACACAACTAATCAAAGTAATTAAAATCAATCAATCATTGGGTCTGTTTGGTAACGTTTACGTTTTCAGTTTATATTTATAAAAATTTTATAAACTGGTTTTTGTTTATTTTTAAAAAAACATAAACTACAAATGCATTTGGTAATTGACAAAATGTTTAAAAAAAAGCCTTGACCATTAATAAATCTCAAAGACAATCTGTGAAATTTGTTGGGGTTGATTTGCGTATACCAGTGTTTAGTCATGGACAATTATATGTGGCATTAGCCAGATGTACATCCCTTGATCGTATAAGTATTTTCCTCCCTAAAGAAGTTTGAATTCTACTACAAATATTGTTTATCCTGAAGTGTTGTTGTAGTATTCTATGTAGATTAAATCACGTTTTATTAGAAGGTAACCATGTAGATTTATTTCTATTGATTATATAACTTTTTATAACATTTTAATTTAATAATAATTTGAAATATAGACTTTTGTAGGATTGGATCAAAAAATTTATGAAGCTTAAAAGGAGAAATACGACTAGCTTGCTTCGATGGAGATGTAATAAGGTAATTTCAATCTTAAAATATTTTGTGAAGTTTGTTTCCTACAAATGTACTAATTTATATTTTTTTTGTTTTCACAAAGTACTAGA